TTTTTTTTTTTTTTTTTTTTTTTTTTTTTTTTTTTTTTGGTGACAGGGATCAAACTCAGGACCTTACACTTGCCAGGCACCGCTGAGGTATCTCCTTGACTGTGTACTTCTTACGAAATATTTATTCACATGTAATTAGTAGGAAAATGAATATCATTCTTCAAATATTTTTGGAAAATCTGTTTTGTTTTTTGTTTTTTAGCAGAACCAGGGATTGAACTCAGGTCCTTGCACTTGCCAGGGAAGCGCTTATTCTACTGAGTCATCTCCCTGGCCCTTTAAAAGAGCTGTGAGGTATTTTGGTTGTTTTTTGGGGGTTTTTTTTTGGGGGGTGTTGGTGGAACTGGGGATTGAACTCAGGCCCTTCCTCTTGCCAGGGAAGCGCTTAGCCCACTGAGCCATCTCCCGGCGGGCCCCTTATCTGTTTATTTCTAACAAAATCCATAATCAATTTTTTTTTTTTCCTATTCCTCTGGGGGTTTTTGAGACAATGTCTCTGCAGTCCAGGCTGGCCTTGAGCTCACCATGATCCTCCTGCCTCAGCCTCCCAAGAGCTGGGATTATAGATGGGCACCACCACAACCAGCTTCTATTCTTTTTAAACCACCTTCAACTTTTAATAAAAAGCTTAAAAAAAAAAAAAAGCTGAAAACTGCTGCAAGATTTTAAGAGAAAATGTGAAACTTTCTAACTATACCAGTTGAACACTGAATGTAATTTAATATATTCTTTTATGCACACATGTGCATAAAAGATATGATCTATGAAACATCATAGTTTAAGATTTCCCTCTCTCCCCACCACTTTTTACCCCACTTTGTTTTGAAACAGAGTTTCACTATACAGTTAAGACTGACCTTGAATTTGCAGTGATCCTCCTGCCTCTGCTTCCTGGGTGCTAGGATTACAGGAGTGTGCTGCCCTGTCTGGCCAACCTATTTTTAACACAAAACTAAATAGATTAATAAACGCTTGCCCAGGGCTGGGGTATAGCTCAGTGATAGAGTGTTTGCCCCGCATACTTAAGGCCCTCGGTCTGATTCCCAGTACCACAAGGAAGGGAAAAATCATAAAATGGAATATAAACCAGTATGTTCTGCTTTGGCTAAAACATAATAAAAACTTAATCTGATTATAAATTTGGCATCCTATAAACTCCTTTTTTATTACTTTTCACCATATCAACAATCTTTGTGGCTGGGCGTGGTGGCACACACCTGTAATCCCAGCACTTGGAAGGCTGAGGCAGAAGGATTTCAGCAAGTTTGAAGGTAACCTGGTCTACCTAGTGAGTTCAAGGCCAGCCTCCACTACAAAGCAAGACCCTATCTCAAAAAATCATCATCATCATCATCATCATCTTTGTGTTAGCTTCTGAGAATTTGTTTTTTAATTTAGATCAAGTACTACACTAAGAACCATCTTTTATCTCAGTACAATTATTACATTCTATAACTGTAACTGGCAGAGTCCACAATCAATTAAAATATGAAGACAGTTCAAAAACTGAATGATCTAAGGATATGATCCAACCTGCCAACAGTTCATACTGATTTCATGAGAGTAATGTTTTTAAAAAGTAAAATCAACTATATTACACACAAAATCACTTCAGCCCCCATAGGGCACTGACTAAAAGCAGCCTTCAGACAGCAGAGATACAGGCCTAGTAAAACTATGAACTTATATATAATTGAATGTTGTTAATTTCATAACTAAAAATTGATTTCAATGTGGGTCACCATGCAAGCTAGCGTATTTAAAAAGGCAGTCTGATTTGCATATGGTTAAATGAGTTAAAATTGAATTTAATAATTTGAGAATATTAATTAACTCTTACAGATAATCATGATTACTAAAGATAATGAAAGGGGCCGGGGAGATGGCTCAGTGGAGTAAGCGCTTCCCTGGCGAGCGCAATGGCCTGAGTTCAATCCCCAGTTCCGCAAAAAAAAAAAAAAAAAAAAAAAAGGACACTAGGCAGTTTAAAAAAATAAATAAAGATAATGAAAGAAAAATACCAAAAATAGTAGAAACCATATTAATAATTTTAAAACCCCTCAAGTCATTTAATTTAGGTTACTGATTAAACTCTTTTGACAGAACTGGGGCTTGAACTCAGGCCCTAGTGAGCTATCTCCGTGGCCTGATTTAACTATTTTTTTCCCATAATTTTATTGAGAAACAAATAGAAATGAGACAGTTTCAAATCAAATTGGTAAGACAGTTTCAATAATTTACACATTGTATATATTCTTCCTAGTGGTTAATTGCTGTACAAGATGCAGACATGATATCCTATTTATAAACACCATTAAAACAAATCACTCTATTAAGAGAATGTAACTATATATCTATCCTAACCATTTTGAATACACAGATACAAAATGGACATTCATCTGTATCCTCTTTTTTTGTTAAGTTCCATTATTTGAATATTAGAGGTGTGTTAACTCAGCAAAATATTCTAAAAGAGTCCGGTAGTCCATAATAGTATTGGGTCTTCCACTTCACTGGCAATGTCAAAAATTGTTGACCTGAGTACCCTATAGCTCAACATAACAGCATGACTTTACTTCTTATATTTCATTTTTATACTTTTCTGCTGGATGGTTAAGACCAAGGTAAAGCAGGACCTATGCAACAAGAGCTGTAGCTTTTGGGTCTGATAAGGCCAGTGAAATCCCCTCAGGATTTATCCTGAGATCCTGTACCTCAGACTGTAGAACTTTTGTCAGTGTCAGGCATGTGGATCAGTTACAGCCATTGCTTGGCCAATGTGCTCTCTGTGAAAGCCTGAGAGAATGTTTTCTCTCCATGTGACTCTTCTTAGGCACATTCTACATCATCGATCACTTTCCTCTTTGGCCTCATAATCTCCTTTATCAAAAAATTTGGGACACTACTGAGTTAGATGACATTACAGTACAAGTTCTCATATGTCCCGAGTCTTAACTGACCTTGGAAGGCTAGGGACAAAATGTTGGCTTTCCTTGTAGCCCTCCTTTTTCTCTAATTTGGTCTGCAAACTTAGGTTGTTAACCCTCTAGAAGACAAGCTTATTGTTATTACCATACAACTTAGGCTGTTAAGCTTAACCTCACTATCTGTCTGAATATCAAACATCTTAGGCATAACATGGAACAGGTATTTTTCATCAAGTATTGATATGCTGAACTTTAAGTCCCCACAGAATCATTACCTGTATTTCTGTGCTGGGCATTTTATCCTCTTCTAATCATCCTGAGACATATCATGTCTCATTATGTCAGAGACCTTGTATTTTTAAGACAAGGTCTCGGACACAATCCAGGCTGGACTCAAACTTCACGTCTCAGTCTCCAAAGGGCTGCACCACCACACCTGGCCTATCGAAGGCTGTTTCCGCTTACAAGCACCCACCGGGCTAAAGAAAAACTAGAAGCAGCATCACACCCTGACTGAGCTTCCATCCCGCCCCTGCCCATCCCAGTCTCCAGTGATATCCTCTTCTGTTCTCGTTTCCACAAAGAACACCAGCATCTGTCTCTCTGTGTGTACTAACTTCACTTAACACAATGACCCCCAATCCAGGTCCTCCTGCACTGCTACAGAGGACTTCATCACATTGCGCATGTTTTCCTGATCCATTCATCTGTGGAGGCATCAGGGTTGGCTCTGCATTTAACTATTATAAACGGTGCTGCAGTAAAGATGGGAGTGCAAGTATCTTTCTGGAATGATTTCATCTCCTTTTGATAGATATCCAGCAGCAGCCTCGTTGGATCGTATGGTAGTTTTATTTTTAGTTTTTGGAGAAATTTCCATTTTCCATAGTAGCTTTGCTAATTTACCTTCCCACTAACTGTGTAAAAGAGCTCCTTTTCCTCCCCATCCTCATCAGCATTAATTGTTGTTTTCCCTCGTGGTGATGGGGATTGAACCTGGAGCCTCAAATACGCTAGGCAAGCATTCTACCACTGTACCATAGCCCCAGTGCATTTTTATCTTTTGTTTGCTTATGATTTGGGGTTTGTCTGTCTGGGTTCTAGACTTTGGCGTTTTTGGGGGGAGGTGGGGTTTTGTTTGTTTGTTTGTTTTGTTTTTTGAGACAGAATCTTGCTATATAATTCAAACTGGCTTTGAACTTGCTACATAGCCCAAGATTGCCTTAAAATGGCAGTAATCCTATTGTCTCAGCCTCCTGATTGCATGGCCATTTTTCTTTCTTTTTGTATTTAGTGCAGGGTCTACAGGGTCTCAAAGATCACTTGTAGTTATGCTCCGGTTTTCAGCTTCCCAAGAGCTGGGATTATAGGTGCGCGCCACCACACCCAGGCTCAATCACCGTCTTAGCACACAGGGCCAGCACAGCAGTCCAG